GGGATCTATCTCTTCTAGTCAATTGGCCAAATGATTGTCCTCCAGATTTCTTGGCTCAACATGGTGAACACATCCAGGAATAAAGTCGAAACTGTCAACAATTTTATCTTAATTGGATTCACAATCAACACTGTTGGTCCTCGTCCTCAGGGGATCAGGAGATGCATATCTGTTGTCAGGGACCACTCCAAATTACTGAAGAGTTTAAAACTAAGATATACCAGATTCAGGTCATAGTCTTTTCAGTCCCTTGCTATTGACCTGAGAGCTATAAGGATGACAAAAGAATTTATGCCCTTCAAATATCCCACTGACTGTAAAAAGAACAAACTGATATGTCTTGGAGAAAGTGCAGCCAGGATACTTCTTGGAGGCAAAGATGACAAAGCTTCATCTCACACACTTTGGACCTGTTGTTAGGAGGGGCTATTTCCTGGAGGGAGCCATCATGTTTGGAAAAGCGGTCACCAAAAGAAAGATTCTTAACCAGATGGACTGACACTGTGACTGCAGCAACAGGCTCAAATATGTCAGAGATGATGAGGGCGGTACAGGATAGGATGGGGTTTAGATCTGTCCTTCAGAGCTGCTATGAGTTGTACTCAACTCGACTCCTAACACTCCCACTCCCACACAGAGATAGCTATACTTAACCACTGCTTATTACAGAAATAAGTCAACTCTTTCAAATTTCAATGAAATTTATTAATATGTTTTTCCATTAAATTTTATGTTTATTTTGTCCCATTAAGTAAATAAAACCTGATTCTGTTCAAATGACACTAATTCTAATCAATGGTACAGTAAAGAAATGGGGCAGTTTGATCCAAATGTTTCTGTATCAAAAGAAGCATGTTCTTCTTTTAAGATATTTCCTTCAATCTAAAATATACTCATTTTTACCTAATATTTTTTCTTTAGAATTCCTAGAAAAGGGTTAGCCTCTTATCTGAAAGTAGCTAGTTTTTATAAAATGTTTCATAAGCTAAAATGGTATTTTTTAAAATTCATTTTAATGAAAGTTTACAGAGACTTAGGGTTTCCAGTCATTCATTGTTGCACTTTTCTCCCTACCTACCCCCTTCCTTCAAGTCACTCTTCTCCTTGAAAAGAAAAAAAAAACACCACCTCTTTCATTGTTACACAATCCTCCTCCACAAGTCGCTCCACTATGCAGCCATCACTCTGGACTTTTGTAATGACAAGAATACCCATTGATATGTTCCTTTTAAGCAGTTCTCCCCCTCATCTGTTTCAATGCAGGATACATCATTCCTCCCCTCCTTTTCTGCCTTCCCTCAATCCTGATGTCAGTCCCATTTTACAACAGTGGCCCTATGCAGTATTTGTTCTTTTGTGACTGAGATATTTCACTCAGTATAATGTCCTTTATGGTGAACCATTCTTCATAATATTTCCTGAGTTCCTTGTTCTTCAATGCTGCATAATATTCTGTTGTGTGCATATACCAGAGCTTCTCTATCCATTCATTTGTTGACAGGCACTTGGGTTGTTTCCAGCTCTTTGCTATTGCGAACAAAGCCACAATAAACATGGGTGTGTAAATATCTGCTTAAGTGGCAGTTATGGTTTCCTTAGGGTATATTTCCAGTAGTGGAATTGCTGGGTCAAATGGTATCTCTATTTGCAACTTTTTGAGAAAGCGCCATACAGCCTTCCATAGTTGCTGCACCATTTTATACAGCCACCAATAATGAATAAGGGTTCCAGTTTCTCCACAACCTCACCAGTATTTGTTGTTTGCTCTTCTGTTAAATTTTGCTGTTCTTACTGAGGTTAGATGTTATCTCATAGTTGTTTTGTAAAATGGCATTTTTAAAGCAGTAATAGATGGTGTAGAAATTGAGATTGTTAACAGTTTCACTTTGCTTGGCTCCACAATCAACACTCTTGGCACCAGCATCCAGGAAATTAAAAGACATATTGCATTGGCAAAGTCTGCTGTCAGAGACCTCTCCAAAGTACTGAAGAACAATGATGTCAGTTTGTAGACTAAGGTGCACCTGATACAGGTCATGGCCTTTGCAATCATTTGCTATGCATCAGAGAGGTGGACAATGACTAGATATGATAGAAGGAGAATCAATGCCTTTGAGCTGTGGTATTGGAGAAGAGTATTGAATATACCATGAACTGCTAAGAGAACAAACAGATTAGTTCTGGAGAGGGTGAAACCAAGCTGTTCCTTAGAGGCAAGGATTCTGAAACTTTGTCTAACTTACTTCGGACATGTTGCAAGAAGGTACCAGTCTTGGGGAGGGACGTCCTGCTTGGGAGGGTGGAAAGATAGCACAGGAGAGGAAGACCCTCGATGAAATGGACTGATTTAGTAACTGGGGTAATAGAGTAGATGTGTTGGAGACAGAGAGACTGGCACAGGATAGAGCAGGGTTAGGGCTGTTGTACACAGGGTCACTATGAGTTGCAGGCAACTCGACAGCACATAACAAAAACAACAACAACAACAATTATCATTACCAGTATGCAGAAAAAAAAAAAACATGAGCATTGCTAGACCCAAAAAAATCAACTTGCCAAATCAGACCAAGTAACATCTAAAATCTAAAATAGCACTAACAAATAGTTTTCACAGACACAAATTCAAAGTTATGGTAACTTGATGCTGAGTATAATTGTTGGCGTAGGAGTGAAGAAACGCCAGTCACAGAGCATAAAATGCCTTTTTAATAGTCTGCTGCCAAAGAAACACTTGAAGCTAGTTTTGGTTTTTGTGAGTATTAACATAGATTTTTCATAAAAGCGAAATGGCTTAACGTAAACTTGGGAAAGGCAAGGGATATCAGTATAAGATTATCTTCCAGCTTTCTACAATAATTTCTAGAAATTGCAAAACTAATATTATCTCAAATTGTTAGTCAATTGCCACCAGAAATCCAAACATTAAAAATCCATTTCTACCATTGCATAATATTAAAATTTATCATTTATTCTTCATATCGTGGATCTCTGGTGGCCTAGCGGCTAAGGTGTTATGCTGTCATTCCTAAGGTAAATGGATCGAATCTGCCAACTGCTCTCCAGGAAAAAGATGGGCAATCTTTTCCCATGCGATTTACAGTCTCTAAAAATCCAAAAGGAACTGGCTGACACAAAAATAATTTCATGAAACAATGTATGAGCAAGAGTGGTGATAAGAATGTTGATAAAGGAAGAAATTCAAGCTGCTCTGAAAGAATTCGCTAAAAAACAAGGCCCCAGGAATTGACGGCATACCAATGATATTTTTCAGCAAACAGATGCTGCCCTGATGCATTCAACAAGTTGTGCCAAGAAATTTGGAGGATAACCACTTGGATAACTGATTGGAATAGATCCATATTTTTCCCATTCCAAAGAAAGGTGACCCAACAGAATGCAGAAATTATCAAATAATATCATTACTATCACATGCAAGCAAGATTCTGCTGAAAATTATCCATAACCTACTGGAACAACACATCAACAGAGAAGTGCCAGAAGTACAGGTTGGGTTTAGAAGAAGCCATGGTACTAAGGATATTATAGCTAACGTGAGACGGATCTTGGCTGAAAGCAGAGAGCACCAGAGGATTGTCTATCTGTATTTCGTTGACTATGTAAACACATTTGACTGTGTAGCTAACTCTGAGAAGAATGGAAATCCCAGAACATTGTGTTATGCAAAGCCTATACCTGAGACCAGGAGGCAGCCGTCACAACAAAGCAAACAAACGCTACACGGTTCAAAATCAGGAAGGGTGTACGCAAGGGACGTGTTCTATCTTCATTCCTTTTCAATCTATATGCAGAACAGATTATCCAGGAGGCTGGGCTCTATGAGGTGGAGTTGGCATAAAGAAGGGAGGAAGACTCATTAATAACCTGTGTTATGCAGATGACACAACCCTGCTTGCTGAAACTGAGGAGGATCTGAAGCGCTTGCTGCAGAAAAAGGTCAAGGACTGCAGCTTTCAATATGGACTGAAGCTCAATCAAGAAAACAATGATTCTTACCAATGGGCTGAATTATGTATTATGATAGATGGAGAAGAGAATGAGGTTGTTAACAGCTTTAGTTTGCCTGGCTCCACAGTCAACACTCTTGGGGGAAAAAAAGACAAAGTGCACTGGGAAAGTCTGCTGTAAGGGACCTCTCAAGAGAACTGAGAAGTAACAAAGTCAGTCTGGAGACTAAGGTGCACCTGATTCAGGCCATAGTCTTCACAATTACTTGCCATGCATCAGAAAGCTGGGCAATGACTAGGGAAGACAGAATGAGAATAGATGCCTTTGAGCTGTGGTGCTGACTGCCAGAAGAACAAACTGGTTTATCCTAGAGAGAGTGAAATCAGGCTGCTCCTTGGAGGTAAGGATTCTGATGCTTTGTCTGACATACTCTGGGCATATTGCAAGTAGGAACCAGTCCTTGGAGAGGAATGTCATGCTTGGAAAGGTAGAGGGACAGCACAAGAGAGGAAGACCTTCAATGAGATGGATTTATTCCGTGACTGGGGTAATGAGGGTAGGTAGGTGTGTCAGAGACAATAAAGTGGGCACAAGATAGATAGAGCAGGTTTCAAGGCTGTTGTATATAGGATCGCTATGAGTTGCAAGCAACTCGACAGCACATTAACAACAAAACCCACTGGATGGGCCGCCACGAATGGGTTCTGACTTGATGGCAATGAGAGAGAGAGAGAGAAAGAACTTCGTATCTGGGAGGATAATTTACATTAAAATCCTTTGCAGTTTATCTAAAATAAGAGATTTCAAAAATATTTGAGAACTGAATGTGAATATTTTATTCTAATGTTTCATATTATAAATATTCATGTTTCTTTTCTAAAATTCTCTTGGAAGCTACTTTGCTATTCATTTTCATAATCTGTTTATTATTCTACTAAAAATATATTTATTTTTCATAAATACACCAGTTCTTTACTGTTTAGTGTAACTATGATTTTAATAGTAGTAAGTGATCAAAAAATAATTTTACTTACCCAAATGAGTAGACAGGACTAGGTTTCCTCATCATTACCCAATAACTTATTAGACATGTCATTAAACTAAGAAAAATGAAAATATTTTAGCATTAAAATAGAGCTAAAAGAGAACATGCAAGGAGAAATTAAGTTTTCAGTGTCTAAACTGCTTAAAGTTATCAGGGTTTGACAGATTATATGAATAATAAATTTTTCTAGTAGATCATAATCTCAAAAAGTATCCTAACACATAGTTTTACTTAGAAAATGGCAGTTTAACATGGAGAAATTGAAAGAAGTTAGGACACATTCTTTAGTCAATTAAATGGAATCTAAATCCATCTTTTCTCAAATCAAGTAGTAAACTGACTATTCTAAATTATTTTCATGACAGAGAATATTAAGCAAAATGACAGTAATAATAACAATATCAACAGAAAAACACCTAGAAGGTATACAAAATGAATTTTTATGTTTATAAATTTTACTCAACCTTTGTTAGAGATGAGACTAAATATATTAATTCATCTTGATTCTAGATAGAGTAAAATTATGCTCATTCTCTAATTTGGGTAGGAATTTACTCTAAGGCAACCTACTGCAGTGTGAAATTCAAGTAACAATTACCTGTTTTAGATCTAATCAAGTAGATTTCGTTACCTGATAAATGAAAAGGTGTTCTTATAAAAAAAGCTGTGGCTCAGATCTTAGACATGAAAGCCGAAGTATTTTACAGCCTTGCAGTGGAAGCATGAAACCTCCCTGAAGCAGAGAGCCATGAGACTGTCTAGCTCACGGTTCCTCCCTTTAATTATGAACGTGCCTCCATTTCTTTTCTCATCTGCAGTTACAATGAGAACTGTTATGTTCGTAAACCATGATCCTGCTCCCTGGTAACAACTCACTCTTGCAGAGACAGGCAGCTGACTTACAACAAATCAAAGCCCTTCCTGGGGAAATCTGGAATTGCAACCAAGGCAAAACCAAAAACCAACATGATTGCTATTCATTCTGACTCATAGCGACCCCATGTTTTACAGACTAGAACTGTTCCAGATAATTTTCTTGGCTGAAAATTAATTGCACATTGTATCAAGACTTGAATTCCAAGTCAGTGGTTCACAACCACCAGCGGCTTCTTGAAAGAAAAGACTCAAGTGGTTTGTTTCATAAAGATTACAGTCTAGGAAACGCTATTAAGCAGTTTGATTATTATATAGGGTTGCTATGAGTTAAAATGAACCCAGCTAAACAACAATACAACAACAATCTTTATGAAAGCATATTGCCAGGCCATTTTCCCCCAGCATCACTAGCTGACTCTAAATTATTTTGCACCACTCACGGACCTTCAGAACTTAAACTTGTTTGTTTTTCCTTTCTTTCTTCTTAAAAATTCTGTATGTGTGTGGTGAAGCATGCCACGTTAACATTTCCATGTATATGGTTAAAAAACAGTAATTAAATTGCTCATATTATAAAATATTCTCATTGATCCGTTTTCAAATTATCCCACCATCATTAACATAAATTCAATGTCCCTCTAAAATAGGGGTTTCCTGAATAACAGAAATGTAAACTTGGAAGTTAGAAGCAATATATCAAGAAAAAAAGGATTGAAAAAAAACCCACATAGGTTTGAACAGAAAAAGGGGATATGCTGCATGATTTAAAATCAGGAAAGGTATGTTAATCCTTTCCCCATACCTATTCAACATGTATGCTGAGTAGCTTCAGGATTGGAGGAAGACTCTCCAAAAACATGCACTCATTTTGTAGATGACTCAACTTTGACTGCAGAAAGTGAAGAAGACTTGAAGCACTAAGTTTAAGGTTTAAAAATCATCCCAAGTCAATAAAAATATTTAAATATTTTTAAAACTTACCTAAAAAGATCAAAAATTGTCAGGTATGTATAGGCAGTTAAAGCTGCAAAAAGAAAAAGACTTATAAAAATGTTACTGTTAAGAAAATATCAAAATATGTCATGCCAGGTCATTATGAAAAAGGTTATAAGTCAGTGACCAATCTCATAAATTAGCAAATGTCAAGTAAATTTGATCCATATACATGGCCAAAGTTAGTTTTAGGGAAAGCTCATTCTAGAGACTGATTTCTCCATTGGGAAAAACGAAGTAGCAAATGCTCAAAGGCACTGACCACTTTCCTGCCTGTCATCCCAGTATATTTTATAGGCACTCTTTTAATAACTAGAAGAAAATGAACCTGCTGCCACTGAGTCAGTTCTGAAGCGATAAATCTTTACTGGAAGAGATTATTCATGTTTATTCAAGTAGTTATGGATCCAAACTACTAACATTTCAGGTAGCTGTGAAACACATAATTAACATACCAACCACCAAAGCTAAGATACATAAAATATGAAGTTATTGCTCTAAAATAAACCACCATAGAATGTTCTGGATGGAGCAAGGGGCAAATGTTGCAAAAAACCTAAAAAAAAAATAAAAAGGCCAGGCTTACTGATCCAATGGAGACTGACAGATTCCCTGAAACTATGAGCTATAGTCACCCTTCCGGCCTGGAACAAGACTCACTCCTGTGGCTCAACTGTCAGACGAACAACAGACAGGCCTATAAGGTGACAATAATGCTACGGAAGCATGCACTCCTTATAATAACCCAACCAGATAAGGTGAAAAGAGCAGCATTAGCAAAAGAATAAAACCTTGAGAGCAGGAAAGGATAACACAGAAAGATTAAGGGAAATGAGAATTACAAGGAAAAAGTGTAAAGAGTGCAGTAAATTGTGGGTATTGTAATTAATGTTATAAAACAAAATTAGTATGAACAATTCAATGGAAAATCAATTTGCATTGTAAACTTTGATTCAAATCACAAATACAGATAAATAAAAAGCAAGCACCAAAGAAATACATTCCTTTTTTTAAAAAAATTCCAACAAATCCCCAAATATTAATATATGAAATAAAATAAAGTACTAATTTATTACATTAAGTTTTAGAAATAGATTTAAAGAAACAGCTTATTTAAGAAAGTAATGGGGGGAGATCTGGTGGCCTGGTGGCAAGAAGCTGAACTGCAATCACAGAGATATGCGGTTCGAATCCACCAGATGCTCTGCCAGAGAAGGAGGGGCCATCTCATCCCGTACCAGTCAGATCCAATTTGACGGTACACACACACACACACACACACACACACACACACACAATAATAAAATTTTAAAAAAAGAAAGTAATGATCCAAAATTGAACCAAACACTTTAAACTAAGAGGCACTTTTATAAAATAATCTTTTATAAAATTTTAAATGTACTTCAAAATAACATTTTGTGATACAAAAAAGAAGACACCTTTATTTACAATCAGAATAGTAAATGAAATCATTAACACAATAAAAAAAGAGAATCTGACATACCTATACTGTTAGTGGAACTACACCACATTAGCAGGAAACCAGTACATACTAAATTTATTGTACCAAAGAGCAAGATCTTCCAAGACTGCAAAAGAGAAAAATTACTTGTAGAGTGTTGAATCTGTTCAAGTTGATATCATTCACTTTAAAGAAATAAAGGAAATAAAAATAAACAAAATTTCCTTCAAAAAGTTTACGTTGCATCCTCTATTTATCTACCCAAACGATTAAAAATTCCAAAATGAAAAGTATTAACAAGAAAATAAATCTGACACAGAAACTATTAAATAGTTGATAAAAATGAAAAATGCATACACATACAATTTTGTCTTGCATTAATATGTACAATGGTGGAAGGACAGTGCAAAAGAGGAAGACCCTCGATGAGATAGATCAATTCAGTAACTGGGATAATGGGGGTAGGTGTGTCAGAGACAGTAAGATTGGCACAGGATAGAGCAGAGTTTAGGGTGGTTGTACATAGGGTCGTTATGAGATGCAGATGGTTTGACGGCACATAACAAAAACAACAACAACAATATATACAAAGACCATGACAAAGGGGCCTTGAGTTTTGTTTTTTAAAATGGATGCAGTTATGTCAGAATGCTGGTTTAACACAATGGTTTGGTAAGGTTGAGTGTGTGTGTGTGTGTGTGTGTGTGTGTGTGTGTGTAAGTAATTTTAATGAAAGTTTAGATAATGACAAAGCAAATGGAGTAAAATAAAATCACGAGGAAAGAGAGTAAGAAGTTCCTTATAACTATCTTGTAACTTTTCTGTTAAGTTTCAAATTAATGAAAATTAAGTTACCAAACAAAAAGGCAGAATTTTGTTACTGATCAAGACTGAAAAAGAGAGAAAAGATCACTGTGGTTTCAAGTTCACAGAAGAATGAGGATCTGAGACAGGCCTTGGAAAGCAAGCTAAAAGTTAGATAAAGGAAGGAGGAAGGGAATTCCAAGAAGAAAGAAAGATCAAGTGATTTGCCTCACTTCTAAAAAGAAGGCAGAAGGGAGACAAGGGAGACATATGATAGCTTGGAAATGTTGCTGTTGATGTTGCTGCTGCTACCAAGGAGTCCCTCCTGATTCACTGGGATCTCATGTATGCAGATTGTTCTATTTCATTTTTAAGGCTGACTTCTGAGAAGCAGATCATTAGACTGGTCTTCTGAGCTATCTCTGGGTGAGTTCAAACCCACCAACATTTTGTCTGAGAGCTGTTTGCGTCACTTTGTAGTGAAGCACAGAGGAAAGAAATGTATGAAAATTCTGTTATTGATTGGAAGTATTGAAAAAAGGTGGAGGCCAAGTGTTATATGGGATTACTGTTGTTGCTGTTGTTCTTAGGAACAGTCATGGACAACTCATAGCGACACTATGAACAGACATGTATCCTTTTCTATTATGTGTCATCATCATCTCTGACTATCTATCTTGAGACCATCGTTGCAGCTACTGTGTCAATTCACCTTGTTCTCTTTCACCAACCCTCCAGCTTTCCAAGAATGATTGTCCCTCTTCAAGGTTATCTAGCCTCTCCTAGAAACATGTCCAATATATGTGAGACAAAGCTCTGTCATCTTTGCCTCTAAGGTGCCCTCTGATTGCACTTTATCCAAGACATATGTTTGTTCTTTTGGCAGTCCATGGGATACTCGACACTATTTTCCAACATCACAGTGCAAAGACATCAATAATTCTGTTATTCACTGTCTAGCTTTCAGATGCATATCAAGTGATTGAAAAGACAATGGCCTGAATCAAGTGCACCTTGCTGTTGTTCTGTGCCATCGAGTAACTTGCGACTTGCGACGCATAGCAACCCTGTGTACAACAACTTGAAGCCTGCTCTATTCTGTGCCAACTTTATGGTCTCCAACACATCTATCTTCATTACCCCAGTCACTGAATCAATCCATCTAATTGACGGTCTCCCTCTCTTTCTCTGTTCCTCCACCCTTCCAAGCATGATATCCTTCTCCAAGGACTTGTGATCAGGCGCACCTTAGTCTCCAGACTGGCATCATTGCTCTTCAGTACTCTAGAGGGGTCCCTGACAGCCGACTTTGCCAATGCAATTTGTCTCATGATTTCCTGGCTACTGGTACCAAAAGTATAGATTGTGGAGTCAAGCAAACTAAAGCTGTTAACAATTTCTATCTTTTCACCATCCATCATGATGTTGCCAATTAGTCTTCAAATTCCTATCATTGCCCTTCAATAATCTGGAGAGGTCCCTGACCATAGAATTTTCCAATGCAGTATGTCTCTTGATCTTCTGACCGCTGCTACCAAAGGAATTGATTGTGGAATCAAGAAAGATGAAGTCGTTGACAATATCAATCTTTTCTCCATCTATCATGATGTTACTTGTTACGTCAATGATGAGAATTATTTCCCTGAGATTGAGATGCAACCCATATTCAAGGCTGTAGTCTTTAATCTTCTGTAGCAAGCACTTCAAGTCCTCCTCACTTTCAGGAAGCAAAGTTCTGTCATCTGCATAACAGAGGTTGTTATGCAGGCTGTTAGGTTGTTTTCCTCCAACCCTGATGCCACATTCTTCTTTACAGAATCTGGCTTCTCAAATAATTTTCTCAGATATAAAATGTATAGGTATGGAGCGAGAACACAATCTTGATGCACACCTTTCTTAATTTTAAACCATGTAGTGTTCCCTTGCTGTTTGCCTAACAGCTTCTTGGTCTAGGTATACAGGTTTCTCATGAGCACAGTTAAGTGTTCTGGGATTTCCATTCTTCTCAGTGTCAACTGTAATGTTATAATCCACACATTCAAATGCCTTTGCATAGTAAATAAAGCACAAATAGACATTTGTCTGGCATTCTCTGCTTTCAGCTATGATCTACCTGACATCACCAATTACATCCCACAATTATATATGCCACAGCCTCTTCCAAACTCAGCTTGAACTTCTAGCAGTTCCCTATGGACTGTTCTAGCCTTTTTTGCCCCCTAGCAGTTTTTAAAAATCTTCAGCAATATTTTGCTTGCATGTGATATTAATGATACTGTTCAATAATTTCCACATTCTACTGAATCACTCTTCTTGGGAATGAGGCCAAATACAATTTCTTCTGGTCATTCAGCCAGGCAGCTGTCCTCCAAATTTCCTAGCACAGACTGGTGAGCACACCCAGGGTTGCATCTGTCATCTGAACCATGTCAGCTGAAATAAGTTCATTGATTCCTGGGGCTTTATTTTTTGCCATTACCTCCAGTGGAACTTGAGGCTCTTCTTTCATCACCATTGGTTCATAATCATATAGTATTGCCCAAAGTATTTCCATGTTGTCCAATTCTTTTGGTACAGAGATTCTGTGTATACCTTCCATCTTCTTTTGATGCTTCCTGGATCATTTAAGACTTTTCCCATAGCATCTCTCAGTATTGTAACATGAGGATTGAATTTCTTTTTCAGTTCAAGAAACACCAAATAAATTCTTTCTTTTCATTCTCCAATTCCAGGTCTCTGAACATTCTGTTGAAATCGTTTGCTTTGTCTTCTTGAGCTGCCCTTTAAAATCTTCTGTTAAGCTCTTTTTTTTTTAAAAAAAATTATTTTATTATTGTTTGTGTACCGTAAAATCAGATCTGACTGGTACAGGAGGAAACTGCCCCGCCTTCTCCAGCAGAGCATCTGGTGGATTCAAACCACGTACCTCTGGGATTGCAGTGCAGCTTCTTGCCAGTAGGCCGTCAGAGCTCCCTTATGTTAAGCTCTTTTACCTCAACATCATCCCTTTGTTTTGGCTTTTTTTTTATATATTAAATTTTATTAATTTTAATGAACATTTAGAGAGATTTTGGGTTTTCATTCATTCATTGTTGCACTATGTTTTGGCTTCTTAATGTTCTAATGTAGTTTTCAGAGTCTCTTCTGACATACATCTTGGGTTTTGGGGTTTTTTTTTTTCTCTCTTCTGTCTCTGTAATGACCTTTAGCTTTCTTCATGGATGTTATCTCCTTGATGTCATCCCAAAACTCATGTGGTCTTCAATTACTGGTGTTCAATGCTTAAAATGTATTCTTAAAATTATTTTTAAATTCAAGTGAGATAGACTCAAGATCATATTCTGGTTCTTACAGATTTGTTTTCATTTTCTTTAGTCACAATTTGAACTTGCACATGAATAACTGATGATCTGACTCACAGTCTGCCTTTGGCCTAGTTGTGACTGCTAATATTGAGCTTCTCAACAATTCCTTTTACAGATGTTGTCAATCTTATGCCCATGCAGTTCATCTGGTGAAATCAATGTGTAAAGTCACCACTTTAGGTTTTTTTTTTTAAAAAAACAAAACCATTAAACATACAAAATTCAATCCTTCTATTTCTAGTCTTCTTTCTGTCACCAAGGCCAAACTTTCCAACTATCCTGCCTTCTTCTTCATCATTGTTTCCAACTTTTGCACCAACGATCATTAACACATCTTGATTGCATGTTTCATCAATTTCAGACCACAAAACTTGATAAAAATCTCTTTTTGTTTGAGCTGTTAGTACATGTATTTGAATAACAGTCGTTATTAAAAGCAAATTATTTTATGAAGAATGTAATATCAGGATTGCAAGAAGACTCATAAATAACCTTCCTTATGCAGATGACACTTTGCTTGATGAAAGTGAGGAGGTCTGGAAGTGCTTGCTATAGGTGATCAAACACTGCAGCCTTCAATATGGATTGCATCTCAACATCAAAGAAACAAAAACTCTCTCCACTAGACCAATAAGCAACATCATGATAGAGGAGAAAAGATTGAAACTGTCAATGACTTCATCTTACTTAGATCCACAACCAACACACTTGGTACCAGCAGTCAAGAGATGTACTGCATTAGAAAAGTTTGTGGCCAGGGACCTCTCCAAGTTACTGAGAAGCAATGACATTAGTTTCAAGACTACGGTACACCAAATTCAGGCCATAGTCTCTTTAATCACTTTTTCTGTTGCTGAGGGCTGGACAACAAATAAGGATGATAGAAGAATTGATGCCTTTGAGTTGTGGTGCTGAAGAAGAGTTCTAAATATCCAATGGACTGCCAAAGGAACAGATA